TGACGTCGATACACCTCAAATGGTTTAAAAAATAAGTTGGAATCTATTTTAAACGTTTTCTCATCAACAACAACTAACGTAGCAAGATGTACAAGCAGATGTACAAGCAAAGAAATTCAAGCTTTCCAAACAAACTAAACCCCTGAGATTAATTCAGGTTTAACGTCACCGATAAAATACGCTTAAATTGGGAAATTCTACAACTGTCGTACACGGTTACGAAATATTCACGACCACGGTGCCAGGTGATTAGAACAAAAACTAAACGGCATTTTCCTCAATCTATTACACTGCATTGTTACGAGTGATGTGCTTCTTGGGTGTCGTGATATCAGCGCTCGTCTACAGCAGATCATGGAGAAGGTTTAAGAGGGAAAGAATCGTTCTCGATAATAGACGGGGAGATTTACACAGACATGCGTCAGTCATAAAACAGCTTTATGTCGACTTGGGAAACTTTCATAATTACAGCGATGCGATGTATGAAGACGTTGTGTGACGCGGTACCGGGCGCCAGAGAGATGTTTGCGCTTCGCAGAGCTGATGGTAACGAACGTGGTCCTGAGAAATTCAAGTGAGTGAGTCGGGTTTAACGCCGCTTTTAACAGTATTCAAGTTATATCGCGGCGTTTCGGCTTAATGTTGGAGGAAAGCCCGAAGTGATGCAGGTCTCAGACGTTTACCACTTTGGTGAAACCCACGAGCACGGGTATGGTGCTGACAAACCTAGAAACATAATCGGGGTGAACCGGGATTCGAACCCACAATCATAGGTTTCTGGCGTGCCCAAGGGACGCGATCCTGCACAGCGAATCGCGGCGCCTTAGACGACTTGGCCAACCGTGCCCCCTGCGAAATTCAAGAACTATGTCACGTAATTTTGATGTAACAGTCTGATTGGATGCAATGTGGGATGCAATTATGTCTGATGCAAAAACGTATACACCCATGTTTGATGGTGGCTAAAAATGAAACAAACAAGAAACGGTTATTCCATGATGATGTATTTGATACGGGTATCGTAGCTGTGTTTTGGAGCCTTAGGTGACTGGGTTGTCCCCTGAATCGTTCCTAGAAGATGAGCAGAATGCGCGGTGTTAACATATATTTTTACTCAAAAACTAAACTAAATTTCAAAAGAAACATATACCACACACCTTTTGAGGAACATATACTACAAAGCTTTTTGAGGACCATATACTACAAAGCTTTTAGAGACTTATGTATAACAGGGGTGGGTTGATAGTGGGATGGGGGTTGGGTAGTGCGCGGGGTAGGGTTTGAGAGGTTGAGGGTTAGGTGATGATTGTGTGAAGGGGTGTTGGAACGGATCCCGATACAAATCCCGAAAAGTCTTCACGAATTCAAGCAAGAGTCGAGAATAAAACGACGTCATGTTATTGTTAATATGTGTTGCTAAATGTTCCGTTTTTTCCCTTGGGGCGTTTGTGAACAAAACGTTTTTGTTGTTGTTGTTGTTGGTGTTGTTTTTGTTGTTGTTGTTTTTTGTGTGTGTTTTTTGTTGTTGTTTTTTTGTTTGTTTGTCTTTTTTTTTTTTTTGGGGGGGGGGGGGGGGGGGGGACGCCCAACGCCGGTACAGTGTTTAGAAATCAACCACATTTAGAAGCCACCTGTCTCTACATTCATGAGGGGAAACAGTGCTTGAGAGAGTGAGTGAGTGAGTAATTCCGGTCACTGTGCCCCGCAAGCTTACCGTGGTACATCGGAGGTTGAAATCCGATCGATGAGACAAACAATTCATACATTATTTAAGAGGGAAACCGCATCGATAATCCCATGTTTCCGCTTCAATTAATCTCATTTACAATACTAGTTCTCAATTAACTAAAGGGTTGGATGTGATTTCCCATTTCAAGACCACACATTTACTTCACTAATATCCATTGGTATTTCTGAATGGTGACCTTTGAAGCACATTAGCTGTTAACACATATAGATCCACGCTACTTATGTGTGAAAGGCTGGCGCTGTGATGGAGTGCCCTTGTTGCTGCTAATGGACGGTGGCGTAGTAAGTGGACATTGTACTGGGTGAAGGTATCTACAGAACAAAACCGTCCCTGCGTTAACATGGGCCTTTTTAATTGTAACTTTAACACGGGCAGTCTTTAGTTTCCTCATTGTTCCCGTCATCATCATCATCATCATCATCATCATCATTATCATCATCGTCATCATCATCATCATCATCATCATCACCACCATCTTCGCAATGTCTATTATTTTCTCGTATTTTAAATTTTATTGTAAACAATATAATTTTCTATTATTTTCTCGTTATGGAAATTATTTTTTCGAAATTTCGATTGTTTTCTTGAAAAAGCGAGTCTTTCTCGTTATTTCACATTTTCAAAAATAAATAAATAATTGAAATAACGAGAAAAATACCAAACTTTTCGATTTACAAAAGATGATATTATTCTCCCAAAGTGGCACCAGTGACTCAAATTCTTTTAAAAACGGCGTTAAACACGCAAATCCCATGCACCATCCATCAAAAGCGAGTGATTATGGTTAAGACACCTTTCAGCAATAATCGGACAATACCAGCGGCACCGGCGGTACCAGAAATGGGCTTCACACATTGTACCCATGAAGTAAACAGAGCCCGGGACTTCGGTGACCGCTTTAACCACAAGCCACCATCATTAAAAAGGTAAAACATATACGCAAATATTTGACCCCTATTCCACAAAGATAAGGTGAAAACTTGACCCACATTCCATATGAGTAAGGTGAAGATTTGAACCCTATGCCACGTGAGTAAGGTGAAGATTTGACAGGTATGCCACAAGAGTAAGGTAAAGATTTGACCCGTATTCAACAACAAGAGAGTGAACTTTTTACCTGTATTCCACAACAATAAGGCAAATATTGGAACCCTATTCCACAACAATTGAGGGAATTTTTTACCTGTATTCCACAACAATAAGGCAAATATTGGACCCGTATGCAATAACAATAAAGTGAATATTTGACCTGTATTCCACAACAATAAGGCAAATATTGGACCCCTATTCCACAACAATAGAGTGAATTCTTGATCCACATTCCACATGAGTAAGGTGAAGATTTGTCCCGTATGCCACATGAGTAAGGTGAAGATTTGACCCGTATTCCACAACAATAGAGTGAAATTTTTACCTGTATTCCACAACAATAAGGCAAATATTGGACCCGTATTCCACAACAATAAAGTGAATATTTGACCCGTATTCCACAACAATATGGCGAATATCCATCAAAAGCGAGTGATTATGGTTAACACACCTTTCAGCAAGGCAACCCAATCACCGCCACAGCCGCCATCATTAAAAAGGTAAAATATATACGCAAATATTTGACCCCTATTCCACAACAATAAAGTGAATACTTGATACACATTCCAGAAGAGTAAGGTGAAGATTTGACCCGTATGCTGCAACAATAAAGTGAATATTTGACCCGTATTCCACAAGAGTAAGGTGAAGATTTGACCCGTATGCCGCTAGAATAAAGTGAATATTTGACCCGTATTCCACAACAATAAAGTGAATATTTGACCCGTATTCCACAAGAGTAAGGAGGAGATTTGACCCGTATGCCGCAAGAATAAAGTGAATATTTGACCCGTATTCCACATAAATAAAGTGAATACTTGATCCACATTCCACAAGAGTAAGGTGAATATTTGACCCGTATTCCACAACAATAAAGTGAATATTTCAACCGTATTCCACAAGAGTAAGTTAAAGATTTGACCCGTATGCCGCAAGAATAAAGTGAATATTTGACCCATATTCCACAACAATAAAGTGAATATTTGACCCGTATTCCACAAGAGTAAGGTGAAAATTTGACCCGTATGCCGCAAGAATAAAGTGAATATTTGACCCGTATTCCACAACAATAAAGTGAATATTTCAACCGTATTCCACAAGAGTAAGGTGAAAATTTGACCCGTATGCCGCAAGAATAAAGTGAATATTTGACCCGTATTCCACAACAATAAAGTGAATATTTCAACCGTATTCCACAAGAGTAAGGTGAAAATTTGACCCGTATGCCGCAAGAATAAAGTGAATATTTGACCCGTATTCCACAACAATAAAGTGAATATTTCAACCGTATTCCACAAGAGTAAGGTGAAAATTTGACCCGTATGCCGCAAGAATAAAGTGAATATTTGACCCGTTTTCCACAACAATAAAGTGAATATTTCAACCGTATTCCACAAGAGTAAGGTGAAAATTTGACCCGTATGCCGCAAGAATAAAGTGAATATTTGACCCGTTTTCCACAACAATAAAGTGAATATTTCAACCGTATTCCACAAGAGTAAGGTGAAAATTTGACCCGTATGCCGCAAGAATAAAGTGAATATTTGACCCGTTTTCCACAACAATAAAGTGTATATTTCAACCGTATTCCACAAGAGTAAGGTGAAAATTTGACCCGTATGCCGCAAGAATAAAGTGAATATTGGACCCGTATTCCACAACAATAAAGTGAATATTTGACCCGTTTTCCACAAGAGTTAGGTGAAGATTTGACCCGTATGCCGCAAGAATAAAGTGAATATTTAACCCGTATTCCACAACAATAAAGTGAATATTTCACCCGTATTCCACGACAATAAAGTGAATATTTCACCCGTATTCCACAACAATAAAGTGAATATTTCACCCGTATTCCACGACAATAAAGTGAATATTTCACCCGTATTCCACAACAATAAAGTGAATATTTCACCCGTATTCAAAACAATAAAGTGAATATTTCACCCGTATTCAAAACAATAAAGTGAATATTTCACCCGTATTCAAAACAATAAAGTGAATATTTCACCCGTATTCCGCAACAAGATGATTGTTTATCCTGATGCCCGAATGAGGTGAATAGTGGTTCCTAGTCGTCTTCACTGTCGCGAGGGCATGCGTGCGCGTGTGTGTATGCGTGAGTGCGTGCATGTGTATGCGTGTGTTTTGGTAGCAGACCTACCGTGTCAAGGTTATCCTTCTGCTTGTAGTCGAACCCTTGCGCCAGCTTCTCCTTGAAGCTCTCCATTATCTCTGCGTGTCGCGCCATGTCTGTTGCCAGAATGAGCATCGTGATTCCCTGTTGGATGTACATTGAATATTAAAGGCGAGTTGTGTGTTTCCGATCAAAGGATATAAAGGCGAGTTGTGTGTTTCAGATCAAAGGAATAAAGGCGCGTTGTGTGTTTCAAATCAAAGGATATAAAGGCGAGTTGTGTGTTTCCGATCAAAGGATATAAAGGCGAGTTGTGTGTTTCAAATCAAAGGAATAAAGGCGCGTTGTGGTGTGTTTCAAATCAAAGGATATAAAGGCGAGTTGTGTGTTTCAAATCAAAGGATATAAAGGCGAGTTGTGTGTTTCCGATCAAAGGAATAAAGGCGATATGTGCGTTTCAAATCAAAGGAATAAAGGCGCGTTGTGTGTTTCCGGTCAAAGGATATAAAGGCGAGTTGTGTGTTTCAAATCAAAGTATCATAATGCAAGTTATGGGTTGGAGATTTAAGGTTATAAAGGCGACTTGGATGTGCCAGATTTAATGATATGAAGGTGACTTTCTAATGTGTTTGAGATTAAAAGGTATGAAGGTCCTTCGTCACATACCGCCCGTATCCTCTTAAACGTGTCCTTGTCCACATTAGCGAAGATGTTACACTCTGGGTTGGAGAGTATCTGGAAGGCGACGGCACAGTGATGGTTCTCAAGGGGGGAGATATCATTGTATCTGATGGCCAATTCGGTACGGGCGTTGATTTGATATCTGCAGCAGGGCACAAACATTCATAAACACATATATATATTTCATACCCCCAGAAGCAAGCACATCCCGATTTCGATACTTTTCTGGTTACACATTAACGACATACGAAACTGGGATGTAAAAGCAACCATCAATATCCCTCGGGTGTCTGACGTCAGATACGAAACTAGTGCATTTACAACACAAAAAAAGCCACGAGCGAATGCGCAACTAACGAGTGTCCTCTTTTAGACCAGCTTTGCTTATCGTGACGTTAGCCTGACATAGTTCTAAGTATAATTTAGAGAATAACCAACGAATTACAGATGATCTGTCCCGTGTGATTGTATAGCGGATTGTATAGGGACAGATCACCCGTAATGCTGAGTTGCGAACAGGTTATTCTATATATTACTCTATAGGAAAACTTCACTGAAGGCATCCATTGTTCGGATGACGTAATGTAATCGATTTGTGACGTCATAAACAATGAGTGTAGCCATGTCACATTTTTCTCAATAATGAAGCCGGTGACGTTATATGGCTTCAATTGACCAATCAGTATTGATATTCGTAAAATGCACATGGAAATACCCGTAGGCTATCACATACGATCTTTCTAGCCTTATAGGTAATGGAGTAAAATGAGTGCTTTGTTTGATCCTTTGTGGAAAATTGCGACATTTAAAATTGTTGGTGTAGCAAAGAACTATATTTGCTTTATTCTGTTAGCTCACATTTGGTCTGGGACACTGGTACGGCCCTAACGGATCAATAACAGGTCTCTGATCACTTACATATATACTCGTTTCCAAATAGCAATCTGTTACGTAACTGTTTTTAGTGCTACTTTCAAGGCCCTTTCGCGATGTTATCGTGCCACTTTCGCGCCGCTTTCGTGATGCAATCGTGGACCGCCTCCGTGGTCAAGTGGTAAAGCGTCCGCCCGGGGAGCGGAAGGTCCGGGGTTCGATCCCCGGCCGCGTCATACCAAAAGACGTTAAAAGATGGTACTTGTTGTTACCCTGCCTGGCGCTCGGCATTAAGGGGCTAAAACAAGGACTGGTCGGCTCGGAGTCAGTATACTGTGTCTGAGTGGGGTATTCATGTTAAACTGCGGCATGGTATCTCAGTGAGCTAGCACTATAAATCGGCATGAGTCCGGACTAGTACAAGCAGCCACACACACACAAACACATACACGTACATGCAGGTCGCTATATAAGTGCATTAATCTTTGACGCGACGTTAAACCTAATTTCACCTCACCCCACCTGATACAATCGTGACACGAGCGATATCATTTCTCGACACAGGGAAAGGAACTTATGAAACGCAGTGTATATTATACATATAAAAAACAGACCAATAAAGCAACACTTTCCAGACAGTTTCGCAACACATTCGCGTCATTATCGCGAGACTAAAGCGAGACGCTCTCGATAACATTTCGCAGGGGAAAGTGTATATGATACAAACAACAACAGACAGTGTAAAATTGCATTTGATTAACAATGTGGCCATCTACAAGACTTCCGTTGTGATATGTGTCCAGGACAGGACAGGAGACCGCCTCCGTGGTCTAGTGGTAGAGCGTCCGCCCGGAGAGCGGAAGGTCCAGGGTTCGATCTCGGGCCGCGTCATACAAAAAGACGTTAAAAGATTGTACTTGTTGTTACCCTGTCTGGCACTCGGCATTAAGGGGCTAAAACAAGGACTGGTCGGCTCGGAGTCAGTATACTGTGTCTGAGTGGGGTATTCATGTTAAACTGCGGCATGGTATCTCAGTGAGCTAGCACTATAAATCGGCATGAGTCCGGACTAGTACAAGCAGCCACACACACACAAACACATACACGTACATGCAGGTCGCTATATAAGTGCAATAATCTTTGACGCGACGTTAAACCTAATTTCACCTCACCCCACCTGATACAATCGTGACACGAGCGATATCATTTCTCGACACAGGGAAAGGAACTTATGAAACGCAGTGTATATTATACATATAAAAAACAGACCAATAAAGCAACACTTTCCAGACAGTTTCGCAACACATTCGCGTCATTATCGCGAGACTAAAGCGAGACGCTCGCGATAACATTTCGCAGGGGAAAGTGTATATGATACAAACAACAACAGACAGTGTAAAATTGCATTTGATTAACAATGTGGCCATCTACAAGACTTCCGTTGTGATATGTGTCCAGGACAGGACAGGAGACCGCCTCCGTGGTCTAGTGGTAGAGCGTCCGCCCGGAGAGCGGAAGGTCCAGGGTTCGATCTCGGGCCGCGTCATACAAAAAGACGTTAAAAGATTGTACTTGTTGTTACCCTGTCTGGCACTCGGCATTAAGGGGCTAAAACAAGGACTGGTCGGCTCGGAGTCAGTATACTGTGTCTGAGTGGGGTATTCATGTTAAACTGCGGCATGGTATCTCAGTGAGCTAGCACTATAAATCGGCATCACTCCGGACTAGTACAAGCAGCCACACACACACATACACGTGCATGCACGTCGCTATATAAGTGCAATAATCTTGGACGCGACGTTAAACCCAATTTCACCTCACCTCACCTTTGACAGGAGTAGGAAAGGGTTTTGTTTGTCAACCAGCCGAACTAGTGGCGATAACAAAATCCGCATGCTGATGCTCTCAAAGACTTGACAAAGTCTGCGGATAAATGTCAGGCACTCTAATCTCTCAGACAATATGTCAGCTAGCCCTGGGTCGTGTGGAACAGACGGTTTGGGGGTTCACGTGTTCTTGATTCCAAGACCATAGTTTTATGTTGCAGAAATTTCGGAGAGTAGACGGAAGCCAGAGGCTATCGCAGTTCTAATGTTTCAGACTGTTGATATAATGGCGAAACGGGCAATGTGGTGATGGTAGGGAGGGTGTTTTTGTTGTTTTGTTTTTTTTTGGGGGGGGGGGGGGGGGATTTTGTTTGCACAACCATTGTGGCCCAACTCGAGTATTTACAGACGGCTGTCATACAGGTGGAATATTGCTGAGTGCGGCGTTAAACAACAAACAAACAAACACTATCTTACTATCTTTGGCTTCTCTGGATTTTCTACACGTACCCTGACTGGTAGTTATTGCACTCGTGTCGGTGAAAAAGTGGAATTGGGAGCCACGAGTTACTTTTGGTCTGCGAGCCCTTGGGTACCGATCGATTCTTCACTAGCGGCGTTACACAGGAAACAAAACAAAAACTATCCCTAGCACTGCCTATTGTGACTACTAAGGTACGAGCTGTAGGTGTTCCGGGTTAGAGTGAGTGAGTGAGTTGGGTTTAACGCCGCTTTTAACAGCATTCAAGTTATATCACGGCGTGTAAGTTTAATGTTGGAGGAAAGCCCGAAGTGATGCAGGTCTCAGACGTTTATTTTGATGAAACCCACAAGCATGGGTATGGTACTGACAAACCTATATATATAATCGGGGCGAACTGGGGTTCTGGCGTGCCCAAGGTTCCGGAGAAGATTCCAGGCACAGTCGATTCCAAATATTGTATACCCTTTTTTTCACCTGTTTCATTTTTGACGAGTCTACATATTTTGACAATCGTATGTCATGAAATGTTTATTTTTCATTGAGAAAATATTGTAACACGTGAAAAACTGCGAGTTCGTTTACAAAAAAAAGAAAAAAAGTCCGATCTCTCGCGTTCGGCACTGGGGTCATACTGCGCCGTAGGGTAGCCTAGCGGTTCAAGCGTTCGCTCGTAACGGGTCACCCGGGTTCGATTCCGACATGGGTACAATGTGTGAAGCCCATTTCTGGTGTCCCCCGCCGTGATATTGCTGGAATATTGCTAAAAGCGGCGTAAAATACAACTCCCTCTGTCTGATAATGTCTCTGAATTTATAAGCGTTTATTTCGCTGCAGCCAAGCTTGATGGATAGTGCATCCACACATCTGTACAATAACAGTTACATAAAGTTGTACTCACGTGTTGTTGTATCCGGGGTGGTCTAAATCGTGGCAAACTGCGGCGGTGAGGAGGATGCCCAGATCTTCCCTGGCCATGTGATCCCACAATCGGCACAGCTGTATCATCCCGTACATCATCTGAGATACGCAGAAGCAGTGGCGGAAGTTGTGGAAGGGGTTGTTCCGATAGTTCTCTTGTACGCACAGCTGAAAGAACAGACATTCAGATATAGTCGGATAAAGTCGGATTGTATCGGCATCAGTCGGAGTTATATTCCTATAGTTCTGTACGCACAGCTGAAAGAACAGACATTCAGATATAGTCGGATAAAGTCGGATTGTATCGGCATCAGTCGGAGTTATATTCCGATAGTTCTGTACACACAGCTGAAAGAACAGACATTCAGATATAGTCGGATAAAGTCGGATTGTATCGGCATCAGTCGGAGTTATATTCCGATAGTTATGTACACACAGCTGAAAGAACAGACATTCAGATATAGTCGGATAAAGTCGGATTGTTTCGGGATCAGTCGGAGTTATATTCCTATAGTTATGTACACACAGCTGAAAGAACAGACATTCAGATATAGTCGGATAAAGTCGGATTGTTTCGGGATTAGTCGGAATTTTTCCCGATAGTTGTGTACACACAGCTGAAAGAACAGACATTCAGATATAGTCGGATAAAGTCAGTTGGAACAGGCTCAGTGCAATCAACCGATGTTGGGCGTCTTCGTGAGCAGAAAACGGCCTTGTTGAAAAAACACTGCGTTGAGTTAGACTTCTTTCCAAGCCATTATGCAATTCATACTGACCCGAGTTTCCCTGCGTTTCCCACTAATATGTCGGATCAGGGTAACATATGAGAAAGAATCCAGTCTCTAACCTCTAAACGAATCGAAATGCATCGTAACAGTTCGAGATTTTTCTTTTTCCCCCTAGAAATTTCATTACATTTTGCAATTGCTTCAGGATGTAATGTATTAAAGCTTGGATGTTTGGCTTTTTTTGTTTTTTGTTTTTCCTTTACCAATTCCCCCAAGAAAATAAATAAATGGCATGTTGTCTTTATATCGGTATCAGATGTTCACCATTCAGTCAGTCAAACAAGCTCGGTGTGTCAGGTAAATGAGAACGCCGCGGTCTCCGCTGATCTTTCTTTTCCTGCTTTGCGGTTTCTGAGTCTGTATCCGTGTCTGTATCTGTACCCGTGTCTGTGTCTGTACCTGTACCTGTACCCGTGTCTGTACCTATATCTGTACCCGTGTCTGTGTCTGTACCTGTACCCGTGTCTGTACCTGTATCTGTACCCGTGTCTGTGTCTGTACCTGTACCCGTGTCTGTACATGTATCTGTACCCGTGTCTGTGTCTGTACCTGTACCCGTGTCTGTACCTGTATCTGTACCCGTGTCTGTGTCTGTACCTGTACATGTATCTGTACCCGTGTCTGTGTCTGTATCTGTACCCGTGTCTGTACCTGTATCTGTACCCGTGTCTGTGTCTGTACCTGTACCCGTGTCTGTACCTGTATCTGTACCCGTGTCTGTGTCTGTACCTGTACCCGTGTCTGTACCTGTATCTGTACCCGTGTCTGTGTCTGTACCTGTACCCGTGTCTGTGTCTATATATGTACCTGTGTCTGTACCTGTGTCTGTGTCTGTGTCTGTACCCGTGTCTGTGTCTGTACCCGTGTCTGTGTCTGCACCCGTGTCTGTGTCTGTACCCGTGTCTGTGTCTGTACCCGTGTCTGTGTCTGTACCCGTGTCTGTCCCCGTGCTATGTATCTGCGTTGAGTCTACTCACCAGCCATCTCTTCAGAGTAATCGGGTTAATGCTGAACTCCTTCACCAGGCCCAGCTCGTGGTACATATGTTCCAGCAGACTCAGCATCTGTACATCAAAGTAACACATCTATATCACCCAGCATCTGTACAACACAGTATCACATGTATAACATCCACACTGTAACAAGCAGCATCTGTACAACACCCACCACCCACACTGTAACACCCAGCATCTGTGCAACACCCACCACCCACAGTGTAACACCCAGCATCTGTACAACACCCACCACCCACACTGTAACACCCAGCATCTGTAAAACACCCACACTGTAACGTCCAGCATCTGTACAACACCCACCACCCACACTGTAACACCCAGCATCTGTACAACAAAGTATCAAATGTACAACACCAACACTGTAACACCCAGCATCTGTACAACACCCACACTGTAACACCCAGCATCTGTACAACACCCACCACCCACACTGTAACACCCATCATCTGTACAACACCCACACTGTAACACCCAGCATCTGTACAACACCCAACACCCACACTGTAACACCCAGCATCTGTAAAACACCCACCACCCACACTGTAACACCCAGCTTCTGTACAACACCCACCACCCACACTGTAACACGCAGCATCTGTACAACACCCACCACCAACACTGTAACACCTAGCATCTGTACAACACCCACCACCCACACTGTAACACGCAGCATCTGTACAACACCCACCACCCACACTGTAACACGCAGCATCTGTGCAACACCCACCACCCACACTGTAACACGCAGCATCTGTACAACACCCACACTGAAACACCCAGCATCTGTACAACATCAACCACCCACACTGTAACACCCAGCATCTGTACAACACCAACAATGTAACACCCAGCATCTGTACAAAACCCAACACCCACACTGTAACACCCAGCATCTGTACAACACCCACCACCCGCACTGTAACACCCAGCATCTGTACAACACCCACACTGTAACACCCAGCATCTGTACAAAACCAACCGCTCACACTGTAACACCCAGCATCTGTACAACACCCACAATGTAACACCCAGCATCTGTACAACACCCAACACCCACACTGTAACACCCAGCATCTGTACAACATCCACACTGTAACACCCAGCATCTGTACAACACCCACACTGTAACACCCAGCATCTGTATTACACCCAACACCCACACTGTAACACCCAGCATCTGTACAACACCCACACTGTAACACCCAGCATCTGTACAACACACATCCACACCGTAACACCCAGCCTCTGTACAACACCCACACTGTAACACCCAGCATCTGTAGAACAACCACCACCCACACTGTAACACCCAGCATATGTACAACACCCACCACCCGCACTGTAAAAACACCCAGCATCTGTTCAACACAGTATCACATGTACAACACCGACACTGTAACACCCAGCATCTGTACAACACCCACACTGTAACACCCAGCATCTGTACAAAATCAACCACCCACACTGTAACACCCAGCATCTGTACAACACCCACAATGTAACACCCAGCATCTGTACAACACCCAACACCCACACTGTAACACCCAGCATCTGTACAACATCCACACTGTAACACCCAGCATCTGTACAACACCCACACTGTAACACCCAGCATCTGTACAACACCCAACACCCGCACTGTAACACCCAGCATGTGTACAACACCCACCACCCAAACTGTAAGACGCAGCATCTGAACAACACCCACCACCCACACTGTAACACGCGACATCTGTACAACACCCACCACCCACACTGTAACACGCAGCATCTGTACAACACCCACCACCCACACTGTGACACCCAGCATCTGTACAACACCCACCATCGAAACTGTAACACCCAGCATCTGTACAACACCTACCACCTACACTGTAACACCCAGCATCTGTACAACACCCACCACCCAAACTGTAACACCAAGCATCTGTACAACACCCACCACCAACACTGTAACACACAGCAACTGTGCAACACCCACCACCAACACTGTAACACCCAGCATCTGTACAACACCCACCATCCACACTGTAACACACAGTATCTGTGCAACACCCACCACCCACACTGTAACAAGCAGCATCTGTACAACACCCACCACCAACACTGTAACACCCAGCATATGTACAACACCCAACACCCACACTGTAACACGCAGCATCTGTACAACAACCAACACCCACACTGTAACACCCAGCATCTGTACAACACCCAACACCTACACTGTAACACCCAGCATCTGTACAACACCCATCACCCAAACTGTAACACCAAGCATCTGTACAACACCCACCACCAACACTGTAACACACAGCAACTGTACAACACCCACTACCACACTGTAACACGCAGCATCTGTACAACACCCAACGCCCACACTGTAACACGCAGCATCTGTGCAACACCCACCACCCACACTGTAACACCCAGCATCTATACAACACCCACCACCCACACTGTAACACACAGTATCTGTGCAACACCCACCACCCACACTGTAACACGCAGCATCTGTATAACACCCACCACCCACACTGTAACACGCAGGATCTGTACAACACCCACCACCCAAACTGTAACACCAAGCATCTGTACAACACCCACCACCCTCACTGTAACACCCAGCATCTGTACAACACCCACCACCCACACTGTAACACCCAGCATCTGTGCAACACCCACCACCCGCACTGTAACACCCAGCATCTGTACAACACCCACCATCCACACTGTAACACACAGTATCTGTGCAACACCCACCACCCACACTGTAACAAGCAGCATCTGTACAACACCCACCACCAACACTGTAACACCCAGCATATGTACAACACCCAACACCCACACTGTAACACGCAGCATCTGTACAACAACCAACACCCACACTGTAACACCCAGCATCTGTACAACACCCAACACCTACACTGTAACACCCAGCATCTGTACAACACCCATCACCCAAACTGTAACACCAAGCATCTGTACAACACCCACCACCAACACTGTAACACACAGCAACTGTACAACACCCACTACCACACTGTAACACGCAGCATCTGTACAACACCCAACGCCCACACTGTAACACGCAGCATCTGTGCAACACCCACCACCCACACTGTAACACCCAGCATCTATACAACACCCACCACCCACACTGTAACACACAGTATCTGTGCAACACCCACCACCCACACTGTAACACGCAGCATCTGTATAACACCCACCACCCACACTGTAACACGCAGGATCTGTACAACACCCACCACCCAAACTGTAACACCAAGCATCTGTACAACACCCACCACCCTCACTGTAACACCCAGCATCTGTACAACACCCACCACCCACACTGTAACACCCAGCATCTGTGCAACACCCACCACCCGCACTGTAACACCCAGCATCTGTACAACACCCACCACCCACACTGTAACACGCAGCATCTGTACAACACCCACCACCCACACTGTAACACGCAGCATCTGTACAACACCCACACTGTAACACCCAGCATCTGTACAACACCAACCACTCACACTGTAACACCTAGCATCTGTACAACACCCACCACCCACACTGTAACACCCAGCATCTGTACAACACCCACCACCCACACTGTAACACCTAGCATCTGTACAACACCCACCACCACACTGTAATACCCAGCATCTGTACAACATCCACACCGTAACACCCAGCATCTGTATAACACCCACACTGTAACACCCAACATATGTACAACACCCACACTGTAACACCCAGCATCTGCACAACACCCACCACCCGCACTGTAACACCCAGCATCTGTACAACGCCCAACACCCACACTGTAACACGCAGCATCTGTACAACACCCACACTGTAACACCCAGCATCTGTACAACACCCACCACCCACACTGTAACACCCAGCATCTGTACAACACCCACTACCCAGCATCATACGTCAATAAACGGCACCAATGTACACATTGGCAATCTGGCACCAAGCACCCTATGAAGGGTCTTCTTTCAGGTCGCAGGTAGTCATCAGTGCGATTGCAATGGGTGTAAGTTATTCAAATACAATCAGTGAATTACATGTGAATTATATAATAATAATTGAATCAGGAAACTGAAGGAAAACAAGTTATACTGTCCCTTACTTCGTTAGGCTCCCAGTGCCACATGTCGAAGGTCGGCTGTTTCAGGTAATCCACTGTCTCTTGGGAAAGCGTGTACTGAGAACAAAGGTCAAACAGGCCGTGACAATAATAGTCTTGGTTAAATGTTCACGCTTGTTGTACTCTTTGCATATTTAAAGAGGAACACATCTCTACGTTAAAGGCTGGGACTGTCTAATTCCAAAAACAATCCACACAAAAGATGCGGTTACGACACAAACAAGCTGGCCAAGATAAATATCCGCCATTGAGACACGTTTCTGACATTAAGATGACTTCAGTCTGAAGGATTCAGTTATGTGATGTTTAAATCCTCAACTTTTATTTCTTTTATCTCAAAGGCTCGAAATCAATGTATATAAATTTAGACTCTTCATTTTTGTATTTATGTTCTTGATAAGGGTTCGGTAGGATGAGTAAAAATACATTTCAAATTGTCTATTCCTTTTGTCATTTGTATTGAATTTGACAGGAAAGTGAATTATGTTATAGCGGTTACATGGGAATATAGCCACACGCGCGCTGTGATGAAACTATTAACATTATTTGAACAAACATGTACTGGTATTAAGCGTGTATACCCATTGTTTGTGTCACGAGTGAGTGAGTGAGTGAGTTGGGTTTAACGCCGCTTTTAACAGTATTCCAGTTATATCACGGCGTGTCAACTTAATGTGGGAGGAATGCCCGAAGTGATGTAGGTCTCAGACGTTTACCACTTCGGTGAAACCCACGAGCACGGTGTGGTGCTGACGAACCTAGAAACATAATCAGGGCGAATCGGGATTCGAACCCACAATCATAGGTTTCTGGCGTGCCTAAGGGACACAACTGTGCACAGCGAATCGCGGCGCCTTAGACGACTGGGCCACCCGTGCCCCCTAAACGGACAAATTAGACGTACTCAACGGTGCTACAGAGTTCTGTAATTCAGAAGAAAGCCTAATCTCTGAAGAGCCATTAGAAATGTAATGCATTTGAGGATGGCATTATCCCACATCTTTATTACTTGTAGAGATGGCCATAAAATGAGTTATGTTCCCGAGGTCAAGCACGGTCAGCCATTCTTGGGAACTCATCAGTGACAGAAATGATCTCTCTATTTTGACTTGAACCACATGTTCCCCTGTTTTGTTCAAGTGAACAACTGACGTTCCTTTTAATGGATATTTTAAACAGAAAGTCAGATGTTTACTGCAATTTCTAGTCTATCACACTGTGACATTTCTATAAGTTCATGATTATTTAATTCGAACAATGGTATTGTCAGGGGTTAGAAATCATGATCATAGTTTTCTAAAGTGCCTAAGGGACGCACCACAGTGTATTTATTGATGTGCCTTTGACCACTGGGCAACCAATCGCCACTGGGCATCCAATCGCTAGAATTAATAGTTTCGACGGACATATATGACAAAGATATCAAGGATATAAACAAACAACTTGGATTAAACTCGATAAAACACTCCACGAGGTAATAGGGATATTCTACACATGCAATCCGGCGTCCTTCACCTTTTCCTGGCTTCAAAACTGTTTGGTTTCCCTGCACCAAACAGTTTAAAGAATGTACACGTGGGAACTCAAAATGGAATTCTCACAGAAATAGTACACACTCACAACTACAGTTAAACTTTCAACACGAGAGGTTTGTGAAAACTCCATTTTGAATCACGTGACGCGTGGGGTAGACTGATATCCTACTTCTGCTGAGTTACTATGGCAACTGCAACTTCGATAAAAACACCACACCAAAACTACAAAAAAACAGCCTCATCAGTGCGACTGGGCATATATACTGAAGAAAAGAAATTAAGGATCATGAATATCTTAGGGATATTTCTTTTATGAAATTGTGAAGTCAGGCTTCACTACAAAAATATTAGTGATTCCTAACTTTATAAGTATATTTCAAAGAGGTAGCACAATTTGAAAAACAACCTTTGTTTGCATTACATGAATACATGCGTAATTAAGAGTTTCAACACAATTTTGAAATTAGCTTCAAAACAGAGATCGACAGATGGATCACTTTGACCCAATTTGCTTCAGTGAGTGAGTTGGGTTTAACGCCGCTTTTAACAGTATTCCAGTTATATCACGGCGTGTCAGCTTAATGTGGGAGGAAAGCCCGACGTGCTGCAGGTCTCAGACGTTTACCACTTCGGTGAAACCCACGAGCACGGGTATGGTGCTGACAAACCTAGAAACATAATCGGGGCGAACCGGGATTCGAACCCACAATCATAGGTTTCTGGCGTGCCCAAGGGACGCAACTCTGCACAGCGAATCGCGTCGCCTTAGACGACTGGGCCACCCGTGCCCCCCAATTTGCTTCAGAATAAAAAAAGCACTGCGTGACATTTGCGCATATATTAGAGCATACAAAATAGAGTATAGAGCGGTTTATCCATGCACTGAAGATAGGGTACCAGTCTTTGAGTGCCATCGCTTGGCAGCGGAAAAGGCGCGGATGTTGTCACCTATTTCGTTACCTTCTCATACATCGGAGGCGATTTGGCTCTGGACAAGTTCTTGTCTGTCGGAGGCACCTCGCTGGGAAGAACAGAGTCACTCAAAAATACAGTCGTACGGTGCGTTCGGGATAACCGCTCGAGAAATGTGGAAGCGATCTACGCAAGCAGTTTGAGTCATCTAACTATGTTTAAATTTCTAAATATATATTGGTTCATGTTTGCGAATCTTCAGTATGTTCAAGTGGAAATTTAGATGACTCAAATTGGATGGACAGATCGCCACAACCCAACCGCTTTGGTTTCCTAGCCAGGAGAACGGGATCGCCAGAATACGACCACATGGTGGACTTTCGGGACAGGGGCATTTTTGTTTGGGCCGTGCCGAATCCCTTGATATGATTCTAACAGGATAAAACAAACGTGCAGGGTCAAGAAGACACGCGCCGTGCCAGACCAGGCGTGTAATCTTCATCAACCGTTCAGTGAATCAAGAAAACGCCCGTGAAAGTAGCATCAAAACTTAAACCTTGACTGCTTATGCAGACTGTTACACTGGACGAAAAGGTGCTCTTTCCAATCTTTCCAAAGTTTCCAAAGTTAGTGATTGCTATACGAAAATGTCACATTTCAACACGACGAAAGAAGATTATTTTTACAAGCTTGGAAATGTTGTTGAAATGTTTGCAAAGTTGTTGAAATGTTTGCAAAGTTGTGGAACGTTATGAAGAGGTGACAGTGCAAAGATAGTATAAATGTGTTTACAGTCGTTTATTTTACTTTTTAAAATTCTGGACAAACCGGTCTGGAAATGTTTGGAAAGTTGTGGAAATATTTGGAAAGTTGTTGAAATGTTTGCAAACGTGTGAAAAATTATGAAGAGGTGACAGTGCAAAGATAGTATAAATGTGTTTACAGTCGTGTATTTTACTTTTTAAAATTCTGGACAAACCGGTCTGGAAATGTTTGGAAAGTTGTTGAAATGTTTGGAAAGTTGTTGAAATGTTTGGAAAGTTGTTGAAATGTTTGCAAAGTTATGGCAAGTTTTGAAGAAGTAACGTTGTTTTTGGAAAGATAGTATAAATGTGTTCACAGTCGTGTATTTTACGTTTAAAAATTCTTGAAAAATCGGTCTTTCCTCTCATGGAGATCGGGAAAGGTCAGTCTCATGATTTGGAAATATTGCATTTTCGTCTGGTGTTACTTGTTTAATCGGTACTTTCAGTGGTGGCGTGTTCTTGTTCACAGCGTGACTCAGCAGCCATGTTCGGAGTCAAACCTCTCAATGCCATGATAAGTATATTTTTTGATATTTTTATTTTATATTCGAGATCCCATTAAACTAAATCTCAATGTAATGTATTTTGTAAACATTACAATACAAATGATATGACTGGTAAAGCGAATGATTCTATGAACATGGCTGCTATAGACCGGAAGTTACATCTCATGACACGTGACAAATCGAGCATCCGTGATTGGCTAGTGTCGACAGGGACCTTGATTACCTTCGGGTATGTGGGTACATCTCTCTTCAAGCTGATTTTCTTTTCGTCGCTCAAAGAACTATAAAAATGATCGTGATTGTTATGGTAGGGGCACGGCCTGGTGGGAGTCGCGTGCAACGTGAAAAAATAAGAAAGGAAACTAAACCACAGACAGACAGACTAAAAGGGCCGGTGGATGGAACAGTGACAATTCTAATGAAATGGACCTTAAGACGGTTACAGAAGGGTTAATTAAGCTAGGGTAAATTAAGTTGCAATCCAAACAAGTATAATTTTCATATAGCGTGACACCTCCTTAGTCCGAACCAAGTAAATCCGGAAACACCATATTACAGACAGTCACCGTTGGAACATCCGAGCGATTTCAGAAAAAAACGACGCAGTCCGGATTTACTGGATTCCACTGTGCACGATATAAAGAATATGTGTTGCCAAAATACGCAAACATTAATGAATATTCAGTATTGGATTGAATACATTTTTACCAGTTTGGAATGAACTATACGAAGAGCGCTTTACTTTTACTGGACACAATGGCCTCATGTTTCAGTAGTCAAAACTTCGATTCTATCCTAAATAATTGCCTCATGTTTCAGTGGTCAAAACTTCGATTCTATCCTAAATAATGGCCTCGAGGTTCAGTGGTCAAAACTTCGATTCTATCCTAAATAATGGCCTCGAGGTTCAGTGGTCAAAACTTCGATTCTATCCTAAATAATGGCCTTATGTTATAGTAGTCAAAACTTCGATTCTATCCTAAATAATGGCCTCATGTTTCAGTGGTCCAAACTTCGATTCTATCCTAAAGAATGGCCACATGTTTCAGTGGTCAAAACTTCGATTCTATCCTAAATAATGGCCTCATGTTTCAGTAGTCAAAACTTCGATTCTATCCTAAATAATGGCCACATGTTTCAGTAGTCAAAACTTCGATTCTATCCTAAAGAATGGCCACATGTTTCAGTGGTCAAAACTTCGATTCTATCCTAAATAATGGCCTCATGTTTCAGTGGTCCAAACTTCGATTCTATCCTAAATAATGCCCTCATGTTTCAGTGGTCCAAACTTCGATTCTATCCTAAAGAATGCCCTCATGTTTCAGTGGTCCAAACTTCGATTCTATCCTAAAGAATGGCCACATGTTTCAGTGGTCCAAACTTCGATTCTATCCTAAATAATGCCCTCATGTTTCAGTGGTCCAAACTTCGATTCTATCCTAAAGAATGCCCTCATGTTTCAGTGGTCCAAACTTCGATTCTATCCTAAAGAATGGCCACATGTTTCAGTGGTCCAAACTTCGATTCTATCCTAAATAATGCCCTCATGTTTCAGTGGTCCAAACTTCGATTCTATCCTAAATAATGCCCTCATGTTTCAGTGGTCCAAACTTCGATTCTATCCTAAAGAATGGCCACATGTTTCAGTAGTCCAAACTTCGATTCTATCCTAAATAATGGCCTCATGTTTCAGTAGTCAAAACTTCGATTCTATCCTAAATAATGGCCTCATGTTTCAGTAGTCAAAACTTCAATTCTATCCTAAATAATGGCCTCATGTTTCAGTGGTCAAAACTTCGATTCTATCCTAAATAATGGCCTCATGTTTCAGTGGTCAAAACTTCAATTCTATCCTAAATAATGGCCTCATGTTTCAGTGGTCAAAACTTCGATTCTATCCTAAATAATGGCCTCATGTTTCAGTAGTCAAAACTTCGATTCTATCCTAAATAATGGCCTCATGTTTCAGTAGTCAAAACTTCGATTCTATCCTAAATAATGGCCTCATGTTTCAGTAGTCAAAACTTCAATTCTATCCTAAATAATGGCCTCATGTTTCAGTGGTCAAAACTTCGATTCTGTCCTAAATAATGGCCTCTTTGGTTGGTTGTTTCAACGCCCCGAGACTTAATGTCGTCGAATTTGGTATTTGGTCGAAATGTTCTGTGTTCATGAAATCCAAAACTATACTGAGGGGCAAAAGAAAGTATACATCCATGTTTGATGGCGGCTAAAAACGAGACAAACAAGAAATGATTATTCGATGGGGGTGTTTTTTATACGGATATCATAGTTGTGTTTTACACGTTGCAGTGTTTCGGAGACTGTTTTGAGTCTAGTAATATTTTGATAAAGTTTGTAATGTTTGGGTCAAATCTAATTTTCAAGTGAATACTTTTTGTTTTGCCCAACAGTTTACAAGAACTGCAACGATACGTTCCAAATCGTCTCCAGTCCTATAACGGCACTTGTAACAAATCATATGAAGAGAGTGAATAGTGTTTTAGGCCGCTTTAAGTAGTATTTCAGTTACAACGGGGCGTCTAAGCCTAATTTGAGAAGAAAGCCCAAAGTGACGCAAGTCTTAAACGTTCACCACTCGTGAAACTTATGAGGGAAAGGTATGGTGCTAAAAAACCAGGAATCATGATCGGGGCGAATTTAGGATTTGCACCCACAATCAGCGGATCCTGACATAATAAAGGGACGCAATGCCAGACAGAGAACTCCGCGGCCCTGCTCATGCTCTCGGCTATATCATATCATGAAACTCCGTACAGCTTCTAACAAAAGTCACATCCAATGCCAATACAGGCTTAATAGTGAGTGAGTGAGTTTGGTTTTACACCGCTTTTAGCAATATTCCAGCAATATCACGGCGGGGGACACCAGAAATGGGCTTCACACATTGAACCCATGTCGGGAATCGAACCCGGGTCTTCGGCGTTACGAGCGAACGCTTTAACCACTAGGCTTAATACGTTGCTCGTGTTATGAACATTGGAGTTGCGTATCAAGTTACTATTGATTAGACGGACACTGTTGTCCATCAGGGCAGAGCCAGGCAGGACGCGGCCTACCTCATTTTGTTCAAGTCAACATACTTCTTCTGTGCGTTCCAAATCTGATCCTTGATGTCGGAGATGTCCCGCTTGCACTTCTCAATCTCCACGGCTTTAAGTCCCTCCACTACTTAGAACAAGAGATGTTACAGTAAACAATCCACGGCTCAAAGCCCACTCCATTATAACACATCCCCATAACACCGCGCACACACACCCGCCAAACATCCCCATAACACCGCGCACACACACCCGCCAAACATTCCCATAACACCGCGCACACACACTCGCCAAACATCCCCATAACAAAAGCACACACCCCCGCCAAACATCCCCATAACACCGCACACACACACCCGTCAAACCCCCATAACACAGCTACACACACTCGCCATACCCCCCATAACACCTCTACACACATCCGTAAAACCACCATAACACAGCACACACACACCCGTCAAACCCCCATAACACAGCTACACACACGTCCGCCCTACCCCCATAACACCCCTACACACACATCCGCCAAACCCCCATAACACCGCTACACACATACCCGCCCAGCACCCATAGCACCCCTACACACATCCGCCAAACCCCCATAACACCTCTACACACACACCCGCCAAACCCCCATAACACCCCTACACATACACCCGCCAAACACCCATAACATCCCTACACACACCTCTACACACACACCCGCCAAACACCCATAACACCGCTACACACATACTCGCCAAACACCCATAACACCCCTACACACACACCCGCCAAACACCCACAACACCCCTACACACACACTCGCCAAACACCCATAACACCCCTACACACACACCCGCCAAACACCCATAACACCCCTACACACACACTCGCCAAACACCCATAACACCCCTACACACACTCTCGCCAAACACCCATAACACACCTACACACACACTCGCCAAACCCTCATAACACCTTTACACACACACCCGCCAAACCCCCCATAACACCTCTACACACACCTCTACACACACACCCGCCAAACCCCCCATAACACCTCTACACACACCTCTACACACACATCCGCCAAACTCGCCAAACACACATTACACCCCTACACACACACTCGCCAAACCCCCATAACACACCTACACACACACTCGCCAAACCCCCATAACACCTCTATACACACACCCGCCAAACCCCCCATAACACCTCGACACACACCTCTACACACACACCCGCCAAACCCCCATCAGACACCCCACACATCCCCGACAAACCCCAATAACACCCCTACACACACACTCGCCAAACCCCCAAAACCCCTACACCCCACCCCCCCCCCCCCCCCCGCCTAACCCCTTAACTCCCCTACACACACACTCGCTCCATCCCAATAACTCCCCTACACATAATTCCATGTCTCATCCCCACAAAACACCCCTTCATGAAAATATACAGCTCCCTACATTACGCAGATCAAGAGAGTGTTTCCATCTTAACGAGACCCTTACCCAGGGAACACAATCACGGCTCACAGCCTAACTCCCCCTTCCCACCGATACACAAGACGCCAATACCTACTTTACACTTAGAACAAGAGACGTTTGAATACATTGTAACATCTTAGCGTCTTAGAATATTAACATGGTGACCTAGACCTGGAAAGAACAAGTATGCCTCGTGTTTCACGGAGGTACAAGCGTGCCCCATGGTACACGGAGGTACAAGAATGCCCCGTGTTTCACGGAGGTACAAGCATGCCCCGTGTTTCACAGAGGTACAAGCATGCCCCGTGTTTCACGGAGGTACAAGAATGCCCCGTGTTTCACAGAGGTACAAGTATGCCCCGTGTTTCAAGGAGGTACAAGGATACCCCGTGTTTCACGGAGGTACAAGTATGCCTCGTGTTTCAAGGAGGTACAAGGATACCCCGTGTTTCAAGGAGGTACAAGGATACCCCGTGTTTCAAGGAGGTACAAGGATACCCCGTGTTTCAAGGAGGTACAAGTATGCCCAGAGTTTCAAGGAGGTACAAGTATGCCTCGTGTTTCAAGGAGGTACAAGTATGCCTCGTGTTTCACGGAGGTACAAGCATACCCCGTGTTTCACGGAGGTACAAGGATACCCCGTGTTTCACGGAGGTACAAGCATGCCCCGTGTTTCAAGGAGGTACAAGTATGCCTCGTGTTTCAAGGAGGTACAAGTATGCCCCGTGTTTCACGGATGGTACAAGTATGCCCCGTGTTTCACGGAGGTACAAGCATGCCCCGTGTTTCACGGAGGTACAAGCATGCCTCGTGTTTCACGGAGGTACAAGCATGCCCCGTGTTTCACGGATGTACAAGAATGCCCCGTGTTTCACAGAGGTACAAGTATGTCCCGTGTTTCAAGGAGGTACAAGGATACCCCGTGTTTCACGGAGGTACAAGTATGCCTCGTGTTTCAATGAGGTACAAGGATACCCCGTGTTTCAAGGAGGTACAAGGATACCCCGTGTTTCAAGGAGGTACAAGGATACCCCGTGTTTCAAGGAGGTACAAGTATGCCCAGAGTTTCAAGGAGGTACAAGTATGCCTCGTGTTTCAAGGAGGTACAAGTATGCCTCGTGTTTCACGGAGGTACAAGCATACCCCGTGTTTCACGGAGGTACAAGGATACCCCGTGTTTCACGGAGGTACAAGCATGCCCCGTGTTTCAAGGAGGTACAAGTATGCCTCGTGTTTCAAGGAGGTACAAGTATGCCTCGTGTTTCACGGATGGTACAAGTATGCCCCGTGTTTCACGGAGGTACAAGCATGCCCCGTGTTTCAAGGAGGTACAAGCATGCCTCGTGTTGCACGGAGGTACAAGCATGCCCCGTGTTTCACGGATGTACAAGTATGCCCCGTGTTTTACAGAGGTACAAGTATGCCCCGTGTTTCACAGAGGTACAAGCATGCCCCGTGTTTCACGGAGGTACAAGCATGCCTCGTGTTTCACGGAGGTACAAGCATACCCCGTGTTTCACTGAGGTACAAGTATGCCCCGTGTTTTACGGAGGTACAAGCATACCTCTTGTTATACGTTCTGTACTGCGGAAACATGGGGTCGTTTCTAGAGCGAGGCGACAATTCGTCGAGATAACCGGTCGAGATAACGAAAATCGAGGAAAATTTGTTATTCGAATGTACATACTTTCCATGCGTTTCTCGATGACGTTGAGTCGCTGGTTTAGCTCCGTCTTCAGCTCCTCCATCCGGAAGACCCTGCAAGGTCAAGGACATACTCAGATTCCAATCTCCATCTTCAGAAATGACAATTAGACGGAATTGCTTTTATTTTTTCTATTTTTTTCTATTTAGCATTTAGTCTTGACGGAAGAAAGCTGATAAAATAACAATAAAATCAGCGTAAACAAGGATGCAGACTCTTTTCTTGCTGTCGATAAAAGAAACTTTTTAAAGATATGTATTTAGTCTAAGAGAAATGACTTTTATTTGTACCCTCCTCCAGCAAATAAGCTCTTTATATCTCATATCAACAATGAAATTTATCTTTTAAAGATTTATCTTTTTGAGGTATGTTGGACATGATATGGTTGGTTGGTTGCTTTGTTGTTTTACGCCGCATTCTGCAATATTGCAGCTATATGAATGCGGTCTGTAAAAAAATCGAGTCTGGACCAGACAATCCAGTGATTGATATCATGAACATCGATCCACGCAATTGGGATCGATGACATGCATAAACCAAGTCAGCGAGCCTGACCACCCGGTCCCGTTAGTCGCCTCTTACAAGCATAGTCGCCTTTTACGGCGAGCATGGGTTGCTGAAGACCTATTCTACCCCGGAATCTTCACGGGTCGACATAATGTGGGACAGCTCTAGCACAGTTACGAGTGAGTGAGTGAGTTGGATTTAACGCCGCTTTTAACGGGTGGTCCAGTCGTCTAAGCCATTACGCTGACACGCCGCGATATAACTGGAATAGTTATATCGCGGCGTGTCAGCTTAATGGCTTAGACGACTGGACCATCCGTGCCCCCAACAGTTACGATGTATCTCGCATAAATGATTTAACTTGGCAGACATAGGTACCTACCCAGAAACGTGGGATTCTTCCGCGTCCCAAAACGATTTTTTATCATGTTTGTAATATTTTATCTACATCTCCTAAAAAAAGACTTCATCGTGTTCAAAGTTTAGACAAACGCTTCTTAAAAGCAGTCAGTGAGTTTGGTTTTATGCCGCTTTTAGCAATATTCAAGCAATATCACTGCGGGGGACACCAGATATGGGCTTCACACATTGTACCCATGTCGGGAATCGAACCCGGGTCTTTGGCGTGACGAATGAACGCTTTAACTACTTTTTTGGAGTATAAAATACCACTCTTTGGGGCTTGGAATCTAATTCTCAGTTTATCAACCACTTCGAAAATCAAGATTACAAAATACCTAATAGAATTATACTTTGGCGGGGGATTAGAATAGTTTGTTTTTTAGGATACATGCAAAAGTGTTTCATAGATAGAATTTGGATCAAACGTTCAAAACGGGTTTCGAAGTTTGATTTTTTTAAAACGTGTATATGCTCCTAAACAAATGGCCTCATTGTTGTGTTAGATTCGCAGATGCAACGGTTGATGTATTGATGCAGTATTGACGCACGCACGCACGCACACCCCCCCCCCCCAAAAAAAAAACCCAAACAAAAAAAACAAAACAAAAACAAACAAAAAACAACAACCCCAAAAAAAAAAAAAAAAAAAAAACAGAAACAAAAAATAAGCCCCCCCCAAAAACAAAACAAAACAATCACAATAAATGCAATGAATACATTGTGAGATAAGCAAGTCTGGCATTCCACCATCGTATCGTCCATCTTTAAACAGCTACTAGAAGAGCATAAGTCTAACAAAACAACAGCGACTACATGAATAGCTGCTGTTTAGTTAAACCTATGCTCTTCCCGTCACGAGCAATCAATCACACGCTGATAGTGACCACGTCGAGCAGTACCCTATAAGGGTGTGTCGTGAGGTTGTAGACGAGTTTAATTAATCAGCATCAGGAAAGGACAAATGGAGTTTAATATGGGCCTATGGCCAGAATACAATAAATGATGATGAATAGGCCTATTTGTGGACGCATCCACTGATGACAAGCAGTGGTTGCAACTACTGTCTTGTATAGCTACTTGGAATATGCAGTATTTTCCTCAAACCTCATCGATTCTTGCAGCGCATACTGATGACATGTCTACTTCTGATAACAGGGGACCGGCCATTTGACATTTGCATTTTTTTATTTATTTTTTTATATTTTTTTTTATTTATTTATTTATTTAATTTTTTTGGGGGGGGGGGGGGGGGGGCGATTTGGTATTGAGACCACATATATTTTGCAGCTGCAGATGAATAACCAGATATGTTAAATCTAATCTAATCTACCAGATCCACGACAGTATGATCGGTTATCCAGAATCCAGCGTATGTGACATGATCTTTATCCGAAACCTGATGTTTCATGAAGTAATACAATCCTGAATATGGAAAGGATCCCTTTTTCAAAAGTGAAAGAATTTTTCTTGGAATATGGAGGAGACTTAAGATCTCGGCATGAGATGGGGTCCGTGCATGTAGAGAAAAGGCAGTTGAAAATGAATTACAGGGCATGTACAGTGGAAATATCGATATAAACCACAAGGTGACTATGAAAGCTTGACATCGACTCTTGCAGCGCATACTCTGATGACCTGTCTACTTCTGATAACAGGGGACCGACCATTTGACATTTGCATTTTAAAAAAATAAATTATTATTATTATTATTATTTATTTATTTATTTTTTTATGGGGGGGGGGGAGAGGAGAACTGGGATTTGGTATTGAGACCACATATATTTTGCAGCTGCAGATGAATAACCAGATATGTTAAATGTAATCGAATCTATGAGCCAAATATTTATTTTTAAAAAATGCATTGCACCAATGTATTTTGTGGCAGACAATTTCCTTTTTTTTAAGCAGGCATTATTGCTTTGTTCAAAAATTCTGGGAGACAATTTATGTTTTTGGTTCAAATGTCATATATATATATTTAAATATATATATATATATATATATATAGATATATATATATATATATATATATACATACACACACACACACACACACACACACACACACACACACACACACACACACACACACACACACACACATATATATATATATGACAATAATTCATGTGGTGCATGAATTCATCATGTCCTATCAGGCACGACTGACATGTTATAGAGAGAAAGAACTGATCTGCCCTTATGCCCCGTCACGACAAACACGTCTTTTGAAATGATAATGTCTTAATTTGCTTTCATGAGCATCCCAGTTTCCTTGATATAAACGGCCTGTAGGACAAGAATATATATACGACGGTGGTAGCGTTGTCATGAGACAAGGTCAATACCACGTGCATTAAGGATCAACATGTCACCTTTACATGTGCTCAGTTACGTCCCTTAGGCGTAAGTGGATTCTATGATCGTGGATCCAAATTCCAGATTGGCTCCCCTAACGGTTCCTGGCTTTGCAACTCGTGGGTATCAACCGTGTACAATCTGAATCACTTTAAACACCCACCTGGATTAAGCTGTCGCGATTATAGCAATTAACGTACTGTTCAGATCGGCGTTAAACGGAGACCAGTCACTCGTTCGAGTGAGTGAGTGAGTATGGTTCTACGCCGCTTTTAGCAATATTCCAGCAATATCAAGGCGGGGGACACCAGAAATGGGCTTCACACATTGTACCCATGTCGGGAATCGAACCCGGGTCTTCGGCGTGACGAGCGAACGCTTTAACCACTAGGCTACCCGACCGCCCTGTTAGTATGCCATCCATCATAAAATCACATTTGTTAAAGATCATATTTCCTTGTCATACACTAGTACCACGACCGTTGGAGGATTGGGGGATTGGACGCATGTTGCCTAGCAATTGGCAAATATGGCTGTGTTACCAACAGTTACCGTTGGTAGTGATACGAGACACACGATGTTGTTGACGGCGCAGGCATGCAGTGATTGTAGGTCATGGCATCGTGACGAGGTGTGGCCAAAAACGTTATATACTAATGAATGTTGCATGAATACGAAACAGATGGGTGTATTTTGTCAAACAGACACATAATTCCAACGTTCGTAGTGTACATGCGAGGCATGGTGTTCGCTCATGGCAATATAGTACAAGATATTCGCAATGGTGATTTCTTTTATTAAGTGCAATAATATTAATGTTCAAAAGATATAATATTTCGGCCTAACGTTTTACACACAAACATCTTTCACTTGGTGTCCTAAAATATATGTGTCGTGGGTACCCAAATCGTTGTTTGGTTCCTATCACAAAAATAAATGCTTATCTTGAAACAATGGCAGAAAAAGTCTTTGTCTGTGATAACATACACCCTCCTCTCACCCCTATTAAAAAATGAATATAAAAAAGTTGGTATAAGAAAGTGAGGGGCAAAAAGAACAGAGGATGACATTTACCTGTTGAGTTGCTCCGCCACCGTAGCTAGAACCGTCTGGAACAGTTCTGTTTCACCTGAGAACGAAATATGAAACATCAGTGAGTGGGTAGGTTTGGTTTGTCAGTTATATATCGGTATTCAGCTTAATGTGGGAGGAAAGCCCAGCATGACGCAGGTCTAAAATAATTCAAGACAATACGAGGACCACTGGGTACATCCAGATAACACGGGGATCACTGGGTAACGCCAGATAATACGGGGATCACTGGGTACCTCAAGATCATACGGGGATCATTGGGTAATTCCAGATAAAACGGGGATCACTAGGTAACTCCAGATAATACGGGGACGACTGGGTAACTCCAGATAATACGGGGACCACTGGGTACTTCCAGATAATACGGGGATCACTGGGTACTTCCAGAGAATACGGGGATCACTGGGTACTTCCAGATAATACGGGGATGACTGGGTACTTCCAGGTAATACAGGGATCACTGGGTACTTCCAGATAATACGAGGATCACTGGGTACTTCCAGATAATACGAGGATCACTGGGTACTTCCAGATAATACGGGGATCACTGGGTACTTCCAGATAATACGGGGAACACTGGGTATCTCCAGGAAATACGGGGATCACTGGGTAAATCCAGATAATACGGGGACCATTGGGAACCTCAAGATAATACGGGGATCACTAGATACCGCCGAATAATACGAGGATCACTGCGTACCTCAAGATAATACGGGGATCACTAGATACCGCCAGATAATACGGGGATCTCCGGGTAACTCCAGATAATACGGGGATCACTGGGTACCTCCAGATAAAACGGGGGACCACTGGGTACCGTCAGATAATACGGGGACCACTTGGTACTTCCAGATAATACGGAGATCACTGAGTACCTCGAGATAATACGGGGATCACCAGATACCTCAAGATAACACGGGGATCACTTGGTACCTCCAGATAATACGGAGATCACTGAGTACTTCCAGATGATACGAGGATCACTGGTTACCTCAAAATAATTCGGGGATCACCAGATACCGCCAAATAATACGAGGATCTCCGGGTAACTCAAGATAATACGAGGATCACTGGGTAACTCCAGATAATACGGGGACCACTTGGTACCGCCAGATAATACGGGGACCACTGGGTACCTCCAGATAATACGGGGATCACCAGATACCTCCAGATAACACGGCGATCACTTTGTACCTCCAGATAATACGGAGATCACTGAGTACCTCCAGATGATACGAGGATCACTGGGTACTTCCAGATAATACGGGGATCACTAGATACCGCCAGATAATACGGGGACCACTGGGTACCGCCAGATAATACGGGGACCACTTGGTTCTTCCAGATAATACGGGGATCACTGGGTACCTCCAGATAATACGGGGATCACCAGATACCTCCAGATAACACGGGGATCACTGGGTAACTCCAGATAATACGGGGATCACTGGGTACTTCCAGATAATACGGGGACCATTGGGTACCTCAAGATAATAAGGGGATCACTAGATACCGCCAAATAATACGAGGATCACTGCGTACCTCAAGATAATACGGGGATCACTAGATACCGCCAGATAATACGGGGATCTCCGGGTAACTCCAGATAATACGAGGATCACTGGGTAACTCCAGATAAAACGGGGACCACTGGGTACCGCCAGATAATACGGGGACCACTGGGTGCTTCCAGATAATACGGGGATCACTGAGTACCTCCAGATAATACGGGGATCACCAGATACCTCCAGATAACACGGGGATCACTTGGTACCTCCAGACAATACGGAGATCACTGAGTACCTCCAGATGATACGAGGATCACTGGGTACTTCCAGATAATACGGGGATCACTAGATACCGCCAGATAATACGGGGACCACTGGGTACCGCCAGATAATACGGGGACCACTGGGTACTTCCAGATAATACGGGGATCACTGGGTACCTCCAGATAATACGGGGATTACCAGATACCTCCAGATAACACGGGGATCACTGGGTAACTCCAGATAATACGGGGATCACTGGGTACTTCCAGATAATACGGGGACCATTGGGTACCTCAAGATAATAAGGGGATCACTAGATACCGCCAAATAATACGAGGATCACTGCGTACCTCAAGATAATACGGGGATCACTAGATACCGCCAGATAATACGGGGATCTCCGGGTAACTCCAGATAATACGAGGATCACTTGGTAACTCCAGATAAAACAGGGACCACTGGGTACCGCCAGATAATACGGGGACCACTGGGTACTTCCAGATAATACGGGGATCACTGAGTACCTCCAGATAATACGGGGATCACTTGGTACCTCCAGATAATACGGAGATCACTGAGTACCTCCAGATGATACGAGGATCACTGAGTACTTCAAGGTAATACGGGGATCACTGGAAAACATAAAGGACCGACCATTTGATTTTCTTAGGGAGCCTTGGAATTTGTATTGAGATTTAATATATTTTCAGCTACAGATTAAAAAATCAGATTTATTTTGTTTTATTTAAAAATATTATTCTAAATCCTTTAATTTAAAAAAACCCACTGTCTTACAACAATAATTTTTTTAGCCAGGCAACTTGTATTTTTCAACAATCCGAAGCATAATTACTCTTTTCAGGAATTTCCTGCATAAATATTTTCTCAGGCCACCAGTGAGTGAGTGAGTGAGTGAGTTGGGTTTAACGCCACTTTAAACAGTATTCCAGTTTTATCGCGGCGGGTCAGCTTAATGTGGGAGGAAAGCCCGAAGTGATGCAGGTCTCAGACGTTTACCACTTCGGTGAAACCCACAAGCACGGGTATGGTGCTGACAAACCTAGAAACATAATCGGGGCGAACCAGGATCCGAACCCACAATCATAGGTTTCTGGCGTGCCCAAGGGACGCAACTCGGCACAGCGAATCGCGGCGCCTTAGACGACATGGCCACCCGTGCCCCCCACGCCACCAAGACTATCAAATGGTCCGTGCGTAAGAAGGGTATTCAGCTGTATACAAACCATTCTGTTGAACCTGCGGCTCTTTGATCGTTACTTTGTACGAGCTCCTGAAAATATAAAACATAAATATTCAACATTCAGTTGGCTATATAACGAGTGGGTTAGGGAGTGTGGTTTTATTTGGCTTTAAGCACTGTTCCAGCAATATCACGGCAGGGGACAACAGATATCTGCTTCACGCATTTTACCCATAAGGGGAATCGAACCCGGGTCGTCGGCGTGACGAGCGAACGCGTGACCACTAGGCTACCCGCGGCTACATATTGTTTTATCAATCTTTAAACCATGGCTCCTTTGTCTTTTACCGTGGCCTAACTAACCAATTGTTAGTTAAACACCACTTGGCAATGACGGAACTTCTTTTTTCCTCTATCAGTTGTCTTGATAATAGAGGGGCAGTCGTGTAGCCTAGTGGTTAAAGCGTTCGCTCGTCACGCCGAAGACCCGGGTTCGAATACCGACATGGGTACTTGGTGTGAAGCCCATTTCTGGTATCCCCCGCCTTGATATTGCTGGAATATTGCTAAAAGCGGCGTAAAACCATACTCACTCAGTCACTCACTCACTTGATGATGAACAATTTTATGCAAAACGTTTGTCGCCAGCGGGATTCGAAGGCAAACGAATGTAGTCTTTAATACGTACAATTGCTTATCCCTTTATGAACTGCGAAATGTGTTTTATGCAATTTTTATACAGTATGTTACTCTGTGCATTCTGGTATCTGTACAGTACTTGTGATTTTGTAGCTTTTCGTTCAACGAAACGAACAGATTGAAAAGAAATTACTATTATATTGATCAGGGCTATATTTGTTCATAATAGGCCCATCAACATGGGCAAGTAATATTTAGCTGATTGATAAATGTGCTCGAGTTGGTCCAAAACGAATGGTAAACTAGCCCCGGGACATGCGTTTCATAACCCAAATCGGCAAAGTGCGAGGAGCACGTGCGCAAAGCTCGGGGAACACATTTCACGTGCTTCACGCAGGGCCGACTAACACAGTGTTCTCACAGTTGAGCATAGAGTTCCTGAATATCTTTCAAAATACCTTTAAGAAAACAATGTTTTTGGAGCATTTTAGGTGCCATACATTTTGGACATGGTTAAAGTATGTCAGACCACTCGGCCCCCAGTGTCCAATCGTTGAAATGGTTGATTAAACCACTCGGCGCGTCTCGTGATTTAATTAAATTAACCATTTCAACGATACAACACTGGGTCCGCGTGGTCTCGCCTTTACTTAAACCATGTCCAACATTTATGGCATCTAAAATGCTCCAAAAACATTGTTTCATTAAAGGTATTTTGAAAGATATTCAGGAACTCTATGCTCAACTGTCAACTATATTCAACATTGTCAACATAATCGTATACTCGATGCTCATGTCAACCTCTGGATTGTCTGGTCCGGATTTGATTATTTACTGACTGCGTCACGCAGCTGGGATATTGCGCAGTGTTGCGTTAAACAACAAACAAACAAACAACTAACTTCATGTATACCGGGGAAACAATGAAGCGATAACAGAATATGTCTTATATATTATCTCCGTATATATTTAAGGACCACCTCCGTGGTCTAATGGTAGAGCGTCCGCCCGGAGAGGTCCGGGGTTCGATCCCCAGCCGCGTCATACCAAAAGACGTTAAACGATGGTACTTGTTGTTACCCTGTCTGGCGCTCGGCATTAAGGGGCTAAAACAAGGACTGGTCGGCTCGGAGTCAGTGTACTGTGTCTGAGTGGGGTATTTATGTTAAACTGCGGCATGGTATCTCAGTGTGCTAGCACTATAATTCGGCATCAGTCCGGACTAGTACAAGAAGACACACACACACAAACACAAACACACGTGCATGCACGTCGCTATATAAGTGCAATAATCTTGGACGCGACGTTAAACCCCATTTCACCTCACCTCACGTATATATTTAATTATAGGACACTCGAAACGATTTTATAAGAATATGATAGCACAGCTTGTTTTAAACATTTGCTGAATAGAGATTCAAAGAGACAAAACTTATATCCAGTTAAATGTTGCAATCATTTAATAATCTGAGAGGTACATCGAGTTTGTGAGTGAGGAGTGAGTGCGTGAGTGAATTGGGTTTAACGCCGCTTTCAACAGTATTCCAGTCATATCACGGCGTGTCAGCTTAATGTGAGAGGAAAGCCCGAAGTGATGCAGGTCTCAGACGCTTACCACTTCGGTGAAACCCACGAGCACGGGTATGGTGCTGACAAACCTAGAAACATAATCGGGATTCGAACCAACAATCGTAGGTTTCTGTCGTGCCAAAGGGACGTAACTCTGCACAGCGAATCGTGGCGCCTTAGACGACTTGGCCACCCGTTCTCCCCTAATAATCTGAGAGGTACACCGAGTTTAGTTTTTTTCTAGATGAATATTTAAAGAACCATTGTCGAAAAATATTAATTGTTTCAATGAAGACGAGGGTAAAAAAACCCACATGAACCATATTATGTTTGAAATGTTTTAAATTTGTGCCGAAAATTTACAGATTTCCAAAGAAAAAATGTCAAATATACCTATCAGTAGTTGTGTATTGTACGCAATTGTATTAATTTTAAAAAGTTTTAAATCAAAATTATATTTAAAAAAATAAAACCCTGTAGAAGTATCCTCGTGTGCTGACTAGTCGCAAGTACGGTTTAGTTCTTGTATATATACTGAACCGCACAAAATGTATATCCATGGTGACGTTTCTTTTGCGGTTCAGTATAATTTCGCTAACTTAAGATGTTTTCAAACGACAATGAAACATGATAAACCAACAAATCTTTTGCCCTCATTTCATTATAGTCATTGCCGCAAAGAAAATCACAACCCACGGTGAAAAAGAAGGGTGACTACGTCAAACAAGACCGCCTCCGTGGTCTAGTGGTAGAGATTCCGCACGGAGAGCGGAAGGTCCGGGGTTCGATCCCCAGCCGCGTCATAACAAAAGACGTTAAAAGATGGTACTTGTTGTTACCCTGTCTGGCGCTCGGCATTTAGGGTTAAAACAAGGGCTGGTCGGCTCGGAGTCAGTATACTAAGTCTGAGTGGGGTATTCATGTTAAACTGCGGCATGGTATCTCAGTGTGCTAGCACTATTAGCCTCAGTCCGGACTAGTACAAGCATGCACGTCGCTATATAAGTGCAATAATCTTGGAAGCGATGTTAAACCCCATTTCAAACAAACACTACGTTTTAGTCAGCTTAATGATGTTTATATTTGTTATTTATTGGAATCGCATGCAGACGATGGCGACACAAACTGGCCTCATTGAACAGGTAAAGGTTTAACAGGAGGATTGTGATAGAAAGATTGATATCAAACGTTAACATGACTGAAGAGATAGGATGAATAGTTGGTTAAACTTCAAGAAAAGGGCGAATCGGGAAGATTTACCAGAATGTAGTTAATGTTGCTTTGATTACACGATGTAAGTACCCGCAATCAGGCCCAACCCGTGCAGACCGACCTGTCACAATCTGGCGAATATTGACGCCATCAGCAGACGGTGAGCGGCGTAATGCGAGCGTCTAACCTGACGTGGGAGTGGCAGTGATGGGAAAGGCGCGATTTTAGCCTCTGGCAATGGTTAACATTTGGAGGCCTTCCAGCTCGTCGGCAAGAAGGGCTTCGCCAGGCCCGTAGAGGCAGAAGCAATCACCCACAGCCCCACACAAATTTTCACACCGGAATTATTTTTATGAAGAAACTTTCGTAAGGAGAAATACAGAGTATTTAGAATTAATTTACTTTTATATAAAATTATGCTATTGAGCTTTGACTTTATTCTTTGTGCTCGTGAAGATTCTGAATCAGTGTTATTGATGGGTGAGGTGAGGTGAGGTGAAATGCGGTTTAACGTCGCGACTATTGCACTTATATAGCCACGTGCATGCACGTGTATGTGTGTGTGTCTGCTTGTACTAGTCCGGACTGATGCCGATTTAAAGTGCTAGCACACTGAGATACCATGCCGCAGTTTAATATGAACACCCCACTCAGACATAGTATACTGACTCCGAGACGACCAGTCCTTGTTTTAGCCCCTTAATGCCGAGAGCCAGACAGGGTAACAACAAGTTCCATCTTTTAACGTCTTATGGTATGACGCGGCTAAGGATGGAACCCCGGACCTTTCGCTCTCCGGGCGGACGCTCTACCATTAGACCACGGAGGCGGTCGTTATTGATGGGACAATATTTACATTAGCCCTACCTAATGTATGTATCTGCGGCGTTAAACAACAAAAAACAACTTCGGGTATATCAACTGTATCTGAGATGACTAATACGGCACGAAAAAAACCCACTGCCGTCGCGTTTTTGTGATATCGACAATCCCCGATGTATTACGAGGCCAAACCTTTTTTTAATATTCGGGGTTCAATTTTCGTAAATTCTGCAAACAAATTTTGACAATTCTGCAAATGTTGGAACTTGGTTTTCGTAAATTTAGTAGTTTTGCACCTGTTTGACTTGTTGCAGATATTTTAATGATAAACTTATCCACGTCGAGAAACAGCTGAAATTGAAGTGATTCTGGCGATCTCAAGTGTAAACATACATACTTACAATTACGGTAAGCAATAATACAAAAGCCAACTTCACTTCAAAACGAAATAAGCATCCGTTTACACGTTTAAAACCAGTTTTCGACTGACATGTTGAAATAATGCAGTGTATTTGACGAATAATGCGCCAGATAAATGCAAAATTCTGCAACCGAGAAGGCATTTCTGCAAAATATCGCGGAATTCTGCGGGGACTGAAATCTGACACGAGACGAGATAAACCTTGGGTGATCTGCCCTATTGACTTTCAGGTAAATTAACGACCGGATTTGCAAATTGGTGAAACCCCTGCTAACAAGGAGAAGCATTCAGGCAACAAAACATGGACACACAAGTCAGGGGCTAACCCTCGGTAAATTGACGACCCCAAAACATATAAGTATCCACTACGCGTTTTCATCAACACGAGACATGGTCCCATTGTGGTATGTAGGCAAAGCGGGCTTCATTTGAGTGAGTGAGTGAGTGAGAAATGTTTTACGCCGCTTTTAGCAAAATTCCAGCCATATCACGGCGGGGGACACCAGAAATGGGCTTAACACATTGTACTCATGTCGGGAATCGAACCCGGGTCTTCGGCGTGACGAGCGAACGCTTTAACCACTAGGCTACCCGACCGCCCCGGGGCTTCATTTGAAGACATCATCCTCGTCCAAGTGTGAAACGCTTCTTATATAGATATAAATATAAGTATTTGGGATACTTCTTTTCAATTACAGTAAACTACGATAATAACGAACTCAAATGGACCATTAATTTTAGTTCGTTATAACCGTAGTTCGTTATAAGCATATATACAACATCTATACAGCAAATGGCCGGGACCAAAAATTAAGTTCGTAATATCCGTCAGTTCGTTATAAGCGTGTTCGTTATAAACGTATTTTACTGTACATCTTTAATTAGGTTGTATCAAAGAAATGACATCAAAGAAAACAAGGTTTTTAATGAAAAAACAAAGTCACTTCGGTTTCCATGATTTTCTGACTTCACAGACTCTGAAGACAACCAATAACAGGAAGTTCTTAAAAGATGCTCCTATTCCACTCTTGTAATTGTATAACTTCAACACCATCAAAAAAACCGACTCGATTATCCACCGAAACCTAGTTTATTGGGCGTGAAAGGCAAAACAGTGGTGAAATTATATAAATGGTTCTTTTAAAGTCTGTATTGACTCTGGGGGCACGGGTGGCCATGTCGTCTAAAGCGCCGCGATTCGCTGTACAGAGTTGCGTCCCTATGGCACGCCAGAAACCTATGATTGTGGGTTCGAATCCCGGCTCGCCCCGATTATGTTTCTAGGTTTGTCAGCACCATACCCGTGCTCGTGGGTTTCACCGAAGTGGTAAACGTCTGAGACCTGCACCATTTCGGTCTTTCCTCCCACATTAAGCTGACACGCCGTGATATAACTGGAATACTGTTAAAAGCGGCGTTAAACGCACCTCACTCACTCAGTGTTGACTCTAAACATGCTTAGAATTTGATCATGTTTAAATGTCTTTACGTGACTTTGTATGTGTTTAGATTCAAAACACATTTTTACAGTGTACTAATATCAAACAGGAAGGATAAGAACGTGTTCATGTCCATGTATTTCACGCGTAAATAATTCTCGCAAACTTATTGTTGGTCGTCGAAGTCAGCTGACTAGTGGTACATATTACAGGCAACTTCCCACCCGATCAAACTTTATCGCCTCGACTCGACGATCAGATATTGTTATCGCCTCGCATCGCCTCGACTCGACGATCAAATATTTTAATAGCCTCGCCACGATTAGCCGAGCAAATAATTTAATCGCTTCGCCCCGCCTCGCCTCGCCAAGCAAATATTGTAACCGCCTCGCCTCGCCTCGCCTCGCATCGATTCGCCGATGAAATATTTTAACTGCATCGCCTCGAATCGCCGATTAAATATTTTAATAGCCTCGCCACGATTAGCCGAGCAAATAATTTAATCGCTTCGCCCCGCCTCGCCTCGCCGAGCAAATATTGTAATCGCCTCGCCTCGCCTCGCCTCGAATCGCGCCGATGAAATATTTTAACCGCATCGCCTCGAATCGCCGATTAAATATTTTAATCGCCTCGCCACGATTAGCCGATCAAATAATTTAATCGCCCCGCCTCGCCTCGCCGAGCAAATATTGTAATCGCCTCGCCTTGCCTCGATTCGCCGATGAAATATTTTTAACCGCATCGCCTCGACTTACGGTAAACAATTGAATGCGTGTGCACAATCTTAAAGACGGCGATGACTTATGCCTACAGCGTTAAAAAACCCAAATCAATGACTTTTCTAGACCAATTCGTCTACCTCTAAAGGTGTAGAACGTTCTGTTGCTGTGTAGGCATTTGTCTTTTATCAATGTAGAGGTTACTACTTTCTCAAGTTTGTTTGTTGTTGCCGTATGCCATTCCAGCTATATGACGGCGGTCTGTAAATAATCGAGAGTGGACCAGAAAAACCACTGATTGACATCATGAGCATCGATCTACGCAATTGGGATACGATGACATGCATCAACAACGTCAGCGAGCCTGACCACCCGATCCCGTTAGTCGCCTCTTACGACAAGCATAGACGCCTTTTACGGCAAGCACGGGTTGCTGAAGACCTATTCTACCCCGGATCTTCATGGGTCTCTATCTTAAGTAGGGGCGGTCGGGTAGCCTAGTGGTTTAAGCGTTCGCTCGTCACGCCGAAGACCCGGGTTCGATTCCCGACATGGGTACAATGTGTGAAGCCCATTTCTGGTGTCCCCCGCCGTGATATTGCTGGAATATTGCTAAAAGCGGCGTAAAACCATACTCACTCACTCATACAATAAAGCAATGATAGATTTCCCGAAACTACGCATCAAGGTGTCTCTGTGATTACATTCGTGATCACTCGTGTCATTCCGGGACAACCCGAATCGCGACTCGTTTCACTCGTAGTTTTTCACTTATTCTTAACCATTCGAACCAGGGACCTCGACGAGTCTAGACATTTTAGATATAGGACGTCAAGAACAGAGGATAATCAGTGTGACACCGACACAGATGCCATTGGGCGTAATGGGTTTTGCTTGTTTGTTTGTTTGTTTGTTTGTTTGTTTGTTTGTTTGTTTGTTGTTTTACTCCACACTCAGCGATATTCCAGCTATATGACGGCGGTCTGTAAATAATCGAGTCGGGACCAGACAATCCAGAGACTGACATCATGAGCATCGATCGACGCAATTGGGATACGATGACATGCATCAACCACGTCAGCGAGCCTGACCACCCGATCCCGTTAGTGGCCCCTTACGACAAGCATAATCGCCTTTTACGGCAAGCATGGGTTGCTGAAGACCTATTCCACCCCGGATTTTCGCGGGTCGTATAACAATAAGTTATTGTGTCAGTTTGTTGCCTAAATGAAATCATTTATATCATTGAATTTCCGTCCCCTTTGACACTAATGTGATTGACAAGATTGAGGAAAAAACATGGCAAGTATGCGGACCTCGCTTTCGAAATGTCACGCTTGCATCCCAAGTACCAAGTTGTCCGACTCCCCATTGTTCTCGGTGCATTAGGTTTGGTACCTCCAAATCTGTTGACTGACATCTGGAGAGTGCCCGGGTTTGCTACCAGTGGAGAGGGGGCAAGGGCCCCGAGCTGATGATGAGCCTAACCAGCCTGACTGTGCCAGGATCACCCAAACCCTCTTTGCTACATTTTTTATTTTAATTTATCAAAAAGGACAAGATCAGGTTTGTTGGCCTGGATGCGTCGGAGGCTGTATACGGGCCTATTCCAAAGAATTTTGTATTTATCATTTTCCATGACGCTCTCTACATATTCCGGGTCGTACCATGGGTGGACCTCTGTTTCAAAACCACAAGCATGGCGAAGGCGGTAATAAAATGATAGAGCTACACCATCATGTCGTTTAAGATACTGTGTGTGTGCCAAAGCTGGGCATCCACTGACAATGTGTTGGTCACATTACATTCATTACATAATCTACATTTCATATTTGCATTTTGATGCAAAATCACAGATTGACGGTTTTGAATGGGAAGTGACTGGTCCTGAGCAGCAAAAAGAAAGCCTTTTGTTTCACTTTTCAGGCCAGACGACTTCATCCAAGCAAAAGACTCTACAGGGTTGCTGATCTTCTCAACACACTGCACGTAAACTCGATGCAGTGGTCGACTAGCTATAGATAGCCTCTCATTTAAATACTGGGCCGACTATTATTATTATTATTATTATTATTATTATTATTGTTGTTGTAATAATAATAATAATAATAATAATAATAATAATAATAATAATAATAATAATCATCATCATCATCATCGTAATTATTGTTATAATTATTATAATTATTATTATTATTATTATTTACGTTCGATCAATACTCACGTTGCTGTATTGGACGGCATAGCTGACGACACTGAAATGTGGGCTCCATTTATGTCTTTGATGGTGATTGTAGCGTTGCTGAAAAAAAGACAGTAATCATCATTAGATAGGATGCTGACAACTCTTGAACAAGATAACGAGGTTTTGAACTCAAATCACACATTTCTTCTCAGATTTGTATTCGACGACGTTAATAAAATCGACAAAACAATTTCAATAACAATGAGAAAAGAGCCCATTGTACGATTCCGCCTGTATCATGAGCATGTGGGATCCGTCACAAACACAAACACATGCAAAGGCAAAGCAATTGTTCGTCTGAATAACGACGGGATCATGTGCAATTCATAACTATTGTCACTGATGCGTTAAATTTGGAAATGTCCTCCGCATGTCTGCCATAAAACTTGTTGAAAAATTTACTGAGGCCTTGAAAGTTGTAACCCTCATCAAACAACACTGAGCAAGACTCGTATGACGCTCTTTGGAATCTTCGTAGAAAGAGCATGCTCGATTGTTTGTTGTTGTTGTTTGTTGTTGTTGTTGTTGTTGGTTGTTGGTTGTTGTGAAATGTACACATCAAAAGATGGAGCTGCGGCATCAAGGTGAGGTGAAATTGGGTTTTAACGTCGCGTCCAAGATTATTGCACTTATATAGCGTGTGTGTGGGTGTGGCTGCTTGTACTAGTCCGGACTGATGCCGATTTATAGTGCTAGCTCACTGTGAAACCATGCCACAGTTTAACATGAATACCCCACTCAGACACAGTATACTGACTCCGAGCCGACCAGTCCTTGTTTTAGCCTCTTAATGCCGAGCGCCAGACAGGGTAACAACAAGTAACATCTTTTAACGTCTATTGGTATGATCGAACCCCGGACCTTCCGCTCTCCGAGCGGACGCTCTACCACTAGACCACGGAGGCGGTCTCGGCATCAAGGGAAGGTTGAAGTTATGATATACACAAGACCAAGGAGATGGTCCCTTGAATGTTGTTACCCTGGTCAAACATCTTCCGATCATGAGCTGTATGACGCTCTTTGAAATCTTCACGGAAAGAGTGGACCCGTGAAGATCCGGGGTAGAATAGGTCTTCCGCAACCCATGCTTGCCGTAAAAGGCGACTATTCTTGTCGTAAAAGGCGACTAACGGTCAAGCCCCCATGACTTGGTTGATGCATGTCATCGTATTCCAATTGGATCGATGCTCATAACGTCAATCACTGGATTGTCTGGTGCAGACTCGATTATTTACAGACCGCCGTCATACAGCTGGAATATTGCTGAGTGCGGCTTTAAACAACAAACAAACAAACAAACAAACAAACAAACAAACAAAAAGCATGCTAGATTGTTCCTCAAAAGTTGTGAAATGTAGAAACAAGTGGCTGGAGCTGTGGAATATTGCTTGGAGGTCAGGTGGGTCAGGGGTCAGGGGGTCAAATAATAATGATCAAATAATATTTAGCACATTAATAATTCTCTCACCCTGATACAGAAGCCCATTAGGGCCACAAAAGTATTATTTCTATTTAAAAAATTCAATTTCTTATCTTGAAAATTCAAGTTCTTATCCGCCAACAATGTCAACTCAGGGTAGAAAACGATGCCTCAGGAAGATCATTTGAAAAATTCAGTTTATCTGAACTGAATCACATGAATTCTAATGTAAGTACAAGATAATCTTCAACTTAATTCCTAAGATTTTCAAGATATGTTTAAACATAATAACTTAAATTTTCAGCAAATTGAATTTCCAACTTAGTTTCTTGAATTTTCAAGATATTATCTTGAATTTTCGACTTGGTATCTTGATTTTTCAACGCAAATGAATTTTCGAGACACCAACAAAACAGAAATGGCATGGCAATAACGGGCTTCCGTAGGTAATTACCGCTGGAAGCTGCTGCTATTCCCGCCTGTTTTGAGGCACGAACGCTGATAACTCCCTTTGTCATCACCTTGGCTGCTTTCCGCTACTTAATTGAACAGGCCATTGTTGTCAGTTAGAATTAGGATACTGGATGACTGCTACAATATGTTCATTTAACTGTTCTCGGGTGGCGGGCTCGTTTCGCAGACATTTCGCTTTGATGAGTTTTAACAGTAGGGCTTCGAGAACGACCGACGAAGCCAGTCAACTGCGAGTCTGCTTGAGGTACATATGTTTAATGACCTCAGATGCACAGTGCGTACTGTTATAATGTCGAGGGCAGAGTTGCGCCCCTTAGACGTGCCAGGATGTGCTGGTTGTGGCCCCCGAACCTCGAAAAGCAGATTATTCCGTTAGGTGTTTAACACCGCATTCAGCAAAATGTCAGCTACATATGACGTCGGTCTGTCAGTCTGGACAAGACAACCCAGTGATTGACATCACGAGCATCGATTACGCCATGCATCAACCAAGTTACCGAGCTTGACCGAAACGCAGATGATACAGGTAATAAACGTTTAACACCTTGGTGACAGACACAATAGTGAGTGAGTATGGTTTTACGCCGCTTTTAGCAGTATTCCAGCACTTTAAAGGAGGGGGGACAACAGAAATGGTCTTCACACATTGTACCAATACGGGGAATCGAAGCCAGGTTTTTGGGACGAAGGACCACGAGGACCACGAGGACCACGAGGACCCCCGAGGACCACGAGGACACCCGATCACCTGACAGACACAAGAACGGCTATGGTACCGTAATACTTGGGATCATTATCGTGCAAATCTGATATTCGAAATGAGAAACGGATTCTGATGACAGAAATAATTAATTGATCCTGCAACAGAAAAGGGACGCAACTCTGCCTTTGAAAGCTGCCAGTTCATGGCTTCATCCAACACAGTCTGAAGTACTATTTCTTTCATATACGGTCTATGTTCCTTTGGGGGCGGTCGGGTAGCCTAGTGGTTAAAGCGTTCGCTCGTTACGCCGAAGACCCGGGTTCGATTCCCGACATGGGTACAATGTGTGAAGCCCATTTCTTGTGTCCCCCGCCGTGATATTGCTGGAATATTGCTAAAAGCGGCGTAAAACCATACTCACTCACTATGTTCCTTTGAGATCCCAGTGCCCCAATGTACAATGCGATGAAATTATTATTATTATGTGTTCACTGAAAATTCCTGACAGTTCATGTAGACTTAAAACAAAATTACCTTTGGACCTACGTCACAACGAGCTTGCCTCCGACATCGAGCTAACATAGAGTGATGCAGTGAAAGGGAGGCGATGTGAAATTGGGTTTAACGTCGCGTTCAAGATTATTGCACTTATATAGCGACGTGCTTGTACGTGTGTGTGTTTGTGTGGCTGCTTGTACTAGTCCGGACTGATGCCGATATATAGTGCTAGCACACTGAGATACCATGCCGCAGTTTAACACGAATACCCCACTCAGAAACAGTATACTGACTCCGAGCCGACCAGTCCATGTTTAGCCCCTTAATGTCGAGCACCAGGCAGGGTAACAACAAGTACCATCTTTTAACGTCTTTTGGCATGACGCGACCGGGGATCGAACCCGACCTTCCGCTCTACAGGCACACACTCTACCACTAGACCACGGAGGCGATCGAGTCATCTTGTGTGTGATTCCCGTTTAACGGCGCTTTTATCATTATTTCAGTTAGATCACGCGTGTCAGCTTAATGTGGGTAGAAAACCCGAAGCGATGCAGGTCCTAAACCTCTACCACGGTATGGTGCCAGCAAACCTAGAAACATTGTGAGTTGCAACCAGAACTCGAACCCGCGACCATAGATTCCTGGCATTACAAGTCAAGGTCACCCTTCCCCTATGACGTAGCATAAGTGAAATATAGAGAAAAGCAGCGTTAACCCCCAACTCACTCACTCACTCACCCAGGGCGCTCACCTGTCGTGTCGACACATTGTGAATGGAGTCAGTTACTCGGACACAAAATACGTAATCACTCCGTGGTCTAGTGGTAGAGCGTCCGCCCGGAGAGCGGAAGGTCCGGGGTTCGATCCCGGCCGCGTCATACCAAAAGACGTTAAAAGATGGTACTTGTTGTTACCCTGTCTGGCGCTCGGCATTAAGGGGCTAAAACAAGGACTGGTCGGCTCGGAGTCAGTATACTGTGTCTGAGTGGGATATTCGTGTTAAACTGCGGCATGGTATCTCAGTGTGCTAGCTCTATAAATCGGCATCAGTCCGGACTAGTACAAGCAGCCTGACACACACACACAAACACACACACACACACACGTACAAGCACGTCGCTATATTAGTACAGTAATCTTGGACGCGATGTTAAACCCAATTTCACCTCACCTCACCTCATGTAATCACTCTGGTCTCAGCTTGTGTCAGAGAGCCAACGTCTGGCGTTAATGTAGAACACGGCACAACTAGTCATATTTCCTGCCTGCTATTGCTGTTACCCCAAACTACCCACGGAGAACGGACAAATATGCTGTGCTAATGGTCACGACAGACCCCAGGGAGACCCCAGGGGGTACCCTGAGGCGAGCCAGTTTTCTAATTGGTCGACCCTCCTTCCGCTGTGGAGGGAGATTATGACGTCAACGGGAACATCACATGACGGAAACGAACGATAATCTAATTTCGACTTACTTAAGTGGAATACAGAATACGTTGAAACCAAGCTGGGAATAGCTTGAAATGATTAAAAGTAAATGAAGAGGTTTTTTTTCTGCCTTGCCTTCTCGCGTGCTGTTTCTTTCAATTTGTGTTTCAATGGCGAAAGGCGTCGCAATTCACCGCAATTGGATCCGTTGGACGTGGGTTCGCATCCCCCAGATCCACCGCAATTCGCTGTGCAGAGTTGCGTCCCTTAGGCCTGCCAAAAATCATCGTATGTTCGAATCCTGATTCGCTATGAGTTTTGTCCACGTATTTGGCTTGCCGCGTTGACACACCGTGAAGGATTGGAATTATTATTCAAAGTACCGATAAAATCAACTCACGTACGCACGCACGCACGCACTCACGAAGGAACGGAATTATTATTCAAACACCGTTAAAAAAAAATCACGCACGCATGCACACACGCACGCACTCGGTCAGGTGTACTCGTGAAGGAACGGAATTATTATCCA